GGGGTGGGGTGGGGGTGGGGTGGGTGGGAATGGTAAGAGTGGAGCACAATATAACGGGCGGAGTTAGGGGTGGAGCACATGCGGTGCATGGAGGAAGGGCAGGGAGATTGACACAAAATTTGGGGGTGGGGCACGATGGATACATGATGAAAAGGAAAGGAGATTTACATGGTTTTGGGTGTTGTATAGGGAGTCGTATTTGGATAACCGAGTGATTCTTATTCAGCCTTGATAAGCAATATCCTAAGACCCCCCCCTCCCCTCGTGTATGACTCAAGTAATGGGTGGAGGACTCGAGCTCTGTGTGATACATGGAGATCTTTAAATGTCGATCGTTGACAATTATTAGAGAAGAAAGAAACATTCATCATTATCATTTTTGGCTGATCATTTTGAATCACAGCCTTTCGTCAAATAACTTCAACCGAAAAAATTGAAAAATTCTTCCTAATCACTAAGACATCTGCAGCTCAACACCCAACATCAAGAACAGTGACACGCTATCATATTTCAGAGTAATGATTCAGTCTCGAAGCCCCGAGTTTAAGATTACTCCGCACTCTGTCAACTTTGAGCATCTGGTCTATTTAAATTATACCCAGTAGTTCATAATGGACTGCTGGTGTTACCCAAGACGTGATAACAACGTAATGTCTGAGGCTAGCATAACCAACTACTTCAACATGTGACGTAACTGACGTAAGGGCACTTTTACAGACGTCAAAAACTAATTATCAGCTGTTCGTGAAAATAGCACCCGTACAGTCATGGATTATGTTCAAGCCGACCGGCAAATGGCATCCTATACATTTACATACACTGTACATGCATCATCATATACTGACAGGCAGATGGTTTCTGTGCACTGAGTTAAGAATATTTTACACGCACGGGGGACATGTACATGTATACAGATATATTTCAGTTACTTTTAAAGACGAGTCTCAAAATTAATGGAGAATTGTGACAGGTGTTGAGGTTCATCATTGGGTTGATAATGATATTACTTATTTGTTATTTTTATCGTGATACTAATCGGTTTAGAATTATGTCGAATGTTTGTATAGCAATTCTGGTAAAAGAGCTGTTATACATTATAATTATGAATAAATACATAGGCAGATACGTATACGAAATACGTATATGAAATCTGCATGTATATGAAAGCTGAATATATGCTAAAAACGCATGGATAATACGTGGATAGAATGAAACAATTCTACTATTATGTGTGATGAAGCAAATTCGGTGTGTCTAGCCTCTGTGTGCCCGCGTGCATGTGTGTACGCTCGCGTGCCTTGGCGCACTACTGAGAACGCGTCTATATCTTGCATTCATATTTCAACTCGTGGAATGAGTAATGACATTAGTAACGGCAGATCCATCCTCAGCACTATCGTGTAAAAGCGTATCGGTTACAAAAAGGGGAGGATTTCTACATTCCAAGCGCCATTCCAAACAATTCCACATTGTGTAACTGAAGGATTGGTTGTAGGGCGTTAAAAAGGTTCGGTGCCCCTGAAAAACAGTGACACATACCTCACAACTTAATTTATTTGGAATTCTCTACATGTTGAAAAAAGTTAGTTATTTAGAGTAAGAGTGAGACAACGTGGGGAGACTTGCCTCTAGAAAGGTGATGTTTCGATCCACAGGTTTACTTATCAGTTTCATAATTTGACTTGAAAAAGTTGTTTTACACCTCAACCATTTACTAGTATAAGTATTTTTTCTTTTGTTTTCTTCGTTAGTGAGTTCCTTTACAGCATACATATAGAGTGTATTACGTTTGACATACTTTATACTTTACCAAAATCTGGGATAACAGTTGATAAAACTTTTTTTTCACGAAGAAAAGCATTTTAGTCAAATAAATGCCAATCTATTGAATTTTTAAATAAATTCTCAATCCGTTCCTTCCAGCACTGCTCTATATACCAAACTGGAAAATAACAACAATAATATTACTCAATACAGATTTGGTATTTCTCTGGTGAAATCAATTAATTAGGCACGGAGCGGTGCGTGAAAGGTCTGTGGAGCTGGTAAATAATTGAGTTATATGGATTTACTACACCTATGCCTGTCTCACTGATTGTACATTGTATCCATGATCACACAACTCTCACGTCCTTGACTGCCATTTAACTTTGGGCATGATATCGGATATATTTGCGCGATATTTTTTAGCTTGCGTCACACCTGGTACCTTATCAACGTCACGTACAGAGTAGGGGCCATATGTGCACGTGAAAAATAATAACATTATGTTGTAATTTGTTTTTTCGCTGTTCATACAGATATGAGTCACGCTTTGTGCCACAAAAGACAAAACAAACATGTACTCAGAATCAGTGCATATACGCATACCCACCCATCCCCCGACAAAACGAGAAATTCACCGAAACTGTCGAAAAGTATTTCAATACAAGAACACCAATTAAGTTGGATAAAATCCATATGGAATGTTGGCTTTGTACGTTGAATGACGGCCATCGTGTTATATTTACTCTTGCTGGTCACTCGGTCCAGTTCAAAACAGGGGCGTGGGCAGGAATGCCACTCAAATATATAGTAGAAAATGAAATCATATTAAAGATCTCAGAACAATAGAAAAAAATCATAAGAGGGTGTGTTTTTTTTTTTGAAAAAGTAAGCCTCTTTGTCCTCTTAGTTGACCCAATTTGAGCCATGACATAGAACCGAGGTCAAATGTTGATTCAGAGTGACCCTTCCTAGCAAAAAGGCCGTTCTTTCGATCAGGCTTGGATATTTTGTTTTTGTTATATATAAGATATATACAACCTTTAAAACGTGAGCGTCACGCCCAGAGAACTTTATCTTTTTGCTTTTACGAGCTGCTTAATTGCCCCCTGTCAACTCTGTTGGGGCGTGGACGATCTATCGACCCGGCACGGTAGGGCAGGTAGAGTTTCAGTCGCTTAGGTTAAAATTAACTCGGAGTACTTCAGTTTGCAACAAGTGTATCCAAATTCAGAAACTTAAACGTGCAGTTTATGAATTTTGAACTAACAGATGGATGTGTTTAACGGGTGACCGAAGCTGACGGCTATTAATAATATTCATACCAAAGCCATTCAGCTGTGGAGCGATAGAATGTCTTTTATACTTCGTGAATGGAAACATTGTGCCCTATAAAACACGCCAAGCTTTCAATACACCTGGTCGGCGAAGTTCTTGAGATTTTTATCACGGTTATTGAGGAAACTGTTTGCATTCAGTTAAAAAGTTTGGGTATTGGATCCCAAGAGCCATTTTGTTCTCTCATGTATTCATACTAATAAATCGATCATATTATACACGAACGACCCCTTATGTTCGAAAGATTTACCCGAAAGTGCCTTTGTATAGGGAGGTATACTGCAGGTAAAGGGTGGGGGACAAGTGGAAGAATGTGGCAAAAAATTTTACCAAATGAAATACCCTTAACACTTAATACAGTCTTTGATATAAGCCAACATCGCTACCGTTACACCGTATCTAATGCGTTATAATATGCTTACCGTTGACCACACTCCACTAAATATACTCCCTTGCCGCAGATTACAGCAACAACAGAATGTCCTCAGCATGTTTGTAGGTGTGTAAAGTGAACAAAACGCTGCGAAATATGCTGTCCTCTGTTTTCACCTCTGTGAAATTGCCTGTCAACAATTTTATCACCAAGCTGCACTTGGTAAAGAGGCCGTCCCGTATGGGTCACAGAACCGCCAAAAAGGCTGGATACTTTATGGTAGACCTCAGAAACTCAACAGGTGCGCCTCTTTTTCGCCTGTCCTTTTTAAGTGTCACCACCTCTCTCTCTCGTACTGGGCGTTCTCTCTCTCTCTCTCTCTTGCCTCGCCCTCTTTCCTTTCCAAGTGAGGTGCGTTGGATGCCTGCTACCCGCGGTGGCTCGAGTGTAGTTAACGCCCTTCCTTTGTCAATATGGACCGTATTATATTCCCTGCTCAATTACATTCGGGGGCAGTTATCGAATAACAATAATATCCTGGCCTTTGTGGCATTGTAGCAAGGATTTCTTAATACAGCAAACAATTGGCGATGTTTTCTGATGCTGTACTGGAATGGAGGTGGACGTGAACAATATTGTTTACAAAGCAGAAGATGGTGTTTTTACTTTTGTTGCAAGAATTATTACAATTGATAATATGACTTGGCCTAGTGCACCAGTTTATATATAATCTAATCAATCGCTAAAAAGACACTTATTAATGTACTTCTTTTCTTAAAATGATTAACGGTAAGGTGGACCGTGTTTTTTAAACATTATCATGGGCCACAGTATGATTGAAAAAGATGCTACAAGTTTGTGAGCGTGGTTAACTGAAACAGAAATTCAGCCTCATTTATTGCGCTCCTTTTAAACAAATAGAACCAAATATAGATTCAGTTTTGAGCAAGAGTGGACAATTTCTTTCGAAAATATGAAAATTAGCCCGGTAATTAAAAGTTAGATGGCACCTACAGCATAGTAAATGGAAACGGTGGACTACGTGTCACTCTACTTGCATTGAGTAGATTATTTCCCCCTTTTTTATTCATAAGATAACTGAAGAAGCCAAGGACAAAAAAGGAGGCGTGGTGATCGACACATGATAACTGCAACAAGTAGCCACCTGTTCAGGGCGACTGATAAAAGGCTCTGAAATCGTGTTTTATTGAAAAAGAGACGTGTTAAAGCTGTTCGATCTGAAAGGTATGGATGATGTTAAGAAAGAAGTGTAAAACAAAGAGAATAATATTAGACAGGGAGAAGGCTTAACGCGCCTTCGTCTGTGTGTGTACGCAATATTGAACAGTTCTCAGTAAGTCAAATATATAGCGCACCCAAACACACAAACACACGAAACATGGGAGTACAGTTTAACCTAATACAAAAGGTATTACGTAGACCCTCCCAAGTGAAGTATTTGTTTTTAGCAGCGTGACTGGAATAGGTAATGTCTAATGGAAACACAATGGAGAGAGGTATACAAAGTCATAAATGAAACACGCGGGTTTAAGGTGGTCACTTTAGTCGCCGTAACCGCATTTTCAGCCTGATTAAGTTAGACCAAAAAAGTCTAAGGGCTTATTCACAATGAAACTATCGATCTACGTAGATCGACCCAAGTCCGTGGGAGTCATTCTGTATGCAATCAGATAAACATTTTAATGTTAAAACAGGTGTCGAATACAATAAAAAAAGTTGGTGATTATATTGGGTATACATTGTCAAGTTTTTATTTATCACTCTAAAATTATCTTAACCACAGAAAATAAAGACTTTTTCACAACTCATTGTTCTGAAGAAAAGTTTATTTCAGTTCCCTTTGATAATAAACAATTTAATCGTGTATAATTGTAGAAAAATAATGCATACACTGGAAGTTGACGTATTGCAAGGGCAATCACTTGATCCTTTGTGGAGAATTAAACTGATACTCATAACTTATTGAAGCCTATTATCCTATATGGAGCATTAATCTGATACTCATAACTTATTAAAGCCTATTATCCTATATGGAGTTGATACTCATAATTTATTGAAGCCTATTATCCTATATGGAGCATTAATCTGATACTCATAACTTATTGAAGCCCAAAATCTTGCCAGAAAGCACAGCTGTATTGAATATAAGTAAAAGTTGTGTCCAAAAAGGGAAAGTTTCCCAGGGAAAGGGGGAGGGCGATCGCGGTGGTGCACCATGTCAGTGGCCTTAAAAGTAGCCTGCATCGATCGAGATGTTTTTTTTTCTCAAACTTTCAAAACTTTCAAATATAAATTGTGAGAAAAAGCTTAATGAACCATATTATGTAAACACCAAATCAGTTAAACTTTTATGGAGGTATCGAGTGACCCGTTTTCACAGGCCGTATGTAGGCCTGTATGCCAAAATATTTAACTGGCCGACTAGTGCTTTTATTAGACGTACCCTCTACCAGGGTTACAGAGATATTTTTCACTAGATATTTACATATCAAGTATTTCTCTGGCATCTGTTACAGAGTAGGTTATAATAAATACAGTATGTCAGCCCAACAATATTCTTGTGGGAATAATGCGTTTCACTAAAGCGAGAATTTATTTTGAAGAACTACTAAACTTAAATACAGTTAAAATCAAATAAAGACATACATATAAATGAAACCCGTCTAATTCCATGATCAGTCGACTCCGTCTGGGCATGATATATGTATAATTACAGCATGCACCTTGAATCATCTTAAAAGGGATTTCTCCAATACCTAAAGTCAGTACCTATAATTCTATACACTATTGACTTTTTTCTAGTTTGGGATCAAATCCATGTGCGGGGCATGCAATGTCATACCAAATATTTTAATTTGGAGTGAACTTAAAAGGGCCAACATGCATTTCCATAAGTACCACCTCTTAAATACATTATATATATCGTCATTTCTGACCTTTGAACTCAACTTCGCAGGTCTTCACATATACGTTGGTCCTAGGACTGACATACACTGACAGACAGCAACTCCAATGACGTCAGCATGTTCCCGGATGAAAGCCGTCATACATTAGTCTACTACGATAGTAACAAGAAATAGCTCTAACTGTACATTTGACATTCTCTTGCCATCTAGAACTACATCTCGCCTTTTGAGCAATGATGTTTCAAATGTAACTGCAAAATTGCGCAATAAAGTCGCTGATTATATTCATTTGTAGTACACCGTATATACTTTGATATAGAATTACAGTTACTGTTGCATAGCGTACTACAAGAACTGGCTATAACTCTTCGCCTAATCAGCCAAGATATTCCTAAAACTGATAAGGTCAAATTCTTGACTTAAATATTCCAGTGTACACATGGAATGTACATATTTGTCTTGATTGTCCTCAATGAAAAAAAATCTCCACACCGGCCTCTAACATTATACGGTATGAGTTTATTGTTTTTGCCTAGACTTATAATTCCGGCCAGAAAAAAATTAATCATTGAGAAATACAAAAGTACAAAAAAATCTAATCCTGACTTTAAGAGCACAATGCATTACAATAACATTTCTCTTTTTATCTGGAATCAGTACCGTTTATTATAATCATACTCATAACCCCCTCCATGGTAGCTGGGGCGATACTGGTAGCCTTGGTTTACGTATCCGCCGGTAGGTGGCTTCTTGTAGGACCCGTGATCGTCGAACTCCGTACCGTACGGACTGAAAACTGCATGTCCTTGCTTTTGGCTTATATAGTCATTTTGACGCTGCTGGGGGTACTGCGGATAACCCCCCGCGGCGTATGCGTACGCAGGTTTCCCACCTTGGTCGTGATTTCCGTTGTATTGTACCATTCGCATGGCTCGATTTTCCTTGAATAAAAGAGAATCGGTAAGCTATATCACTAAATAATTGAATGGATGAGGCAACCCATTAAGATTCAATAATAACTGACAACAGTTTATCTTGATAGCAATAAATTACAGCTATCCAAATCGTTAAACAAAACGCCTTCAACTCATTTTCTAACCTGAGACCGTTCTAGTAAGTAAAATAAAATTCATGATGAGAGACCTTTCTTATTTTAAGAAAATGTATATTATTGAAGTGGGACTTAAACTGCATTAAATTGAATATGTTGCATCAGTGATACCTCGACCCCTGTTCCACTTTTACTTACCTCCATCTCTCTCTCCATCGTCAATTCACGGAAATAGAACCCCACGCAAATAAGAGCATAGATCTGAAGAAACAATGGCAGAATGGCATTTTTGAACGAAAGGATTGAGCATAATGATCGGTGCCTTAGGAAATATTGAAAAATGATTGAAAAATTCTCAGATTCATCTCATTTGAAAGAAAAAGTTAAATGAGCAAGAGGATTTGATACTTCACGTGAAAAAACTTTAATTACGGAATTGGATTGAGGCAAAAATCAAAATATATTTTCTGAGATTAAAACATTTAATCTTAAAAGAGAGAGAGAGAGAGAGAGAGCTCTACTCACGTCAAACACTATTATAAGGAAAAGTACTCCTACAATAACCCAGAAGAGCCAGAATGTGTCTGAAAAACAAAAAAAAAATTAAGGTTCACTTCATGATATTTAACCGCTAAATGGATTTCCCCAGGAAAATAAGCGAATGTGCAGGTTTGCGTTTATGCTTGTGTTAATAGTTCAATGTCTTTGTAATAGTGTCTGCACACCTCATAGTGACACTTTCATATACTCACAGAGCAGCACGACCCCATATACGAGGACGAGGACGAGAACAGCAATCAGATACAACGTGGCTAGAATGGTGAAGACAAGCCACGGGACGAGACACCAGCGATTTTTCTGGAGAAAGAAAAACAAATTTATAATGAATTGAAAAAAGAGTAACAATTGGCAAAAACATCACAGTAAATCAGATGAAGTTAACATACAAAATATTATCCGCGCGCATGGCGCGCAGTTCGCCCTTTCGTTTGCAAAGTTATGCTGTTGAGCAATGGCTGGTTTCAGAAATTTAAAACGAAAATTCTAAGAAATGTTGACAGAAATCTGGCCTAGATAAATCCATAAAAGACCATTTGTATAAAGCCATTATTAATTTGAAACATAAGCCAGGTTTTTTTAATTATCTTCAAATTAATTATATTAATTAATTAATATATTTTTATTATTTTATTTTATTATTATTATTAATTTTTTTTGTAAAACAGTCGCCGTAATTCGTTTACTTGGGGTAACACTGATTTAGAATCAAAGACGGCTAACATTTAGGTTAAAAAAATAGGCTTTTATTCAGAGTAAATAATAATAATAATAATAATAATAATAATAATAATAATAATAAACTTTGGAACTACTCACGACACAAATTCCAGCGAACAGAACAATGCAGGAGATAAACCATAGGAAAGATACTGCTAGCCCCACGTATACAGTGTATCTATTTTGGAACCCATAGATTGTATTTAAAACGCTGGCTGTGTCTGGTTGACCTGTTCCTAGGGATTCTCCGGCAATTTCAACTGGAAATTAAAGAGGGTGAATATTATGGACAAAGTGCAAGCAGAACAGTAAATTTTATATATGCCTCAAATCATATAGCAAATCAAACAGTCCTCTTTTGTATTTTGAAATTACAGTTCTTAAATCAACTTCATTCTGTGTTCTGTAGTTATATTCTAGTGATGCTTTACCTATAGACTGCGTTTTTAATAAACTATTATTTCAAATGTAAGAACATGTATTTCTCTCTTATTCTTGTTGCTAAGGTCTTGAGGCACCATGTGTACTATGTTTTATATTTAGGACACACGAGAAAAAAGCCTTAGAATAAATAAATAAATAAATAAATAAATAAATAACATATACTAGCACAAGCTTGACAAGAGAAAAGACAACAAAAGCATACATACGCGTTATCACAAAGAAGATGTAGGCGGCTAAGGCTAGCGATGCAAATAACTGTAAAAAATAGGAAATTATACATTATATATATATTTGCAATGTACATGTATATAAGTTTTCTATTGAGCTAGTGGCACGTTTAATATAATGTGTCATGCGTATATTATATGCCTTTGCCTTTGCGTGAACAGTAGCGTGTGCGCACACGTAGGTGTAACTATTAGAATCCATGGGTGCATTAAAAATAAATACATATTTTTAAAAAGCGCTGTTAATAATTATTGATGTTGAAAAATCCAAAAGGCAAAACCACAATAATACAGAGAACAAACAAATTTGGGTGGGGATCACTTTTTCAAAGAGTGAGTAATCACAATTAACAGTTGGCGGGAAACGCCTTAAATACTAGGCGTGGCTGTTTCAGAAGGTGACAAAATTCTACTTGTTTAAGTATTGTGCAATCAGTCATACTAAGACGTATTTGTCTAACGGATTACGTAACTGCACGTCTGGGTAAACAGGAGTAGGTCTAGGTGTTGGTGTTTAGTGCTTTATATCACTGGTCTGTGTGACAGGTATATACTTAAACCTTGAACTGTTGGCAAATAATACGCTATCGAATAAATTTGTCGTCAAATTTCTAAAGCTGACCTATTTTTAGGCATACCTTAGAGACGAGAACAATGGGGAAGACTCCATGTAGTATATTGATCTGTATGGGCAAATGGCGTAAATGTATGAGCTAGTGGGTTATTCCATTGTGAAGGATCCGGAAAAAGCCTTACTACAGTACTTCTTGCATTTTCTGTATCTACTGTAGCATAAGTGCACAATGTTCGAAGCATGTGCACAATTTGTGAGATTTTGGCCAGAGGGGACGCGTCAAGCCCGCATCCAGATTGTCAAATGTCAAATATATACAATATGATCCAAATTAAAACCCAACCACATGGATGTACGTGCAAGTTTATGTACCTCTATGGAAATGTCCGTACTTTATGCATGGGCGATGAGCACACGAGTCCGTACTTTTTAACGCAAAATCAGCCAATTTACTAAAGATAGGTGTACAATTTACAATAAACTGAGGGATCAACCACCGTTTGCACGTTTAATAGCCCTATATGATTTAATACTAGGGGCTACATGTACCTTATCTCAGTGTGGGTCTAAACATTGACATACATGTAAATTGTTGCTTTCGGGCATAAAATGGGATATGTATATACCTTGTACATTGGCGTGAAGTTACTTAGCCAAGGTATATCGTATAAACTGTGTATTCATGTAGTTTTCCCAATGATTCGCATTTTATATGTGCGTATGTTGAAAGACGGGGAAATGCAGCCACACTCAGGGAAACCTTTGCTAACAGTCAGCCTTGTTCGTGCATGGAGCCTGGGGATTTGAATCAGAATTTTTATAAATAGTAAAATCCTAATAATTCATGGTGGGCCCGAGGATGAAAAAGTACCTGCGCTATATTTGTGAAATATAAAACATTTTCATGGCCGTAGGTTTACCCTTTATACAAGTACACATGTACATGTAGATCCGCACGTGTGCATTAATATTTCTCCCATAATATTCAAATTAATGGAGGTTTTAACAAAGGAGAATGAATTAAGAAGTACAATTACTAACGTGAGACGTAACCTGTATACATATATATAGAACTCTATGAAGCAGTCAAAACAACTCCAAATCAATCATAGACTGTACTGTGAAAAGGAGACTCATGAAGTTAAACTTAAAGGTCTATAGAGCGAACTAATTATGACGTCATCATTTTTCCCGCGTGTCCTAGCGTCGCCATATTGGTAGTCGGAAGCAACATAGCGGTAGCACCGGTCGATTTTCACTATTTGCTTTAAAATGCCGACGATGTGTGCCGTATATGGCTGTTCAAACAAACATGGTA